GTAAGTTTTTGTAGCAACAACTCACGTCAACCCAACCGGCCCTGCACACGTCAGCTTTCACTATGGTTTTCTATGGGATTGCGCAAGCGGGGCCGGACGGGTCATATGATAATGGAATATTACTTAAGGTGATTCCTCAGGAAAAAAGTTAGGGAACAATTTTTTTTCTTTCCTGTAAATGTTCCCTACCAATATCTGTTTCAAATATGCAACTAAAAAGATAGGTCACCGTGCTTGTTTAAGAGATACGACAAGCCAAACTTACCTGATGTAAGCCTGTATTGGCACTTATTACGCGCGTAATTTCATCGGTTCACGGTATATTTTGAGGTAGCTGGAAGCAAGGGTTTTTGAAGTAAAGTTTGAAAAAAAATTAATCAGCGGAAAGTCTTCAGCGTATAGAAAAATTTTGATATATAATTTGTGGAAAAATCACGCAATTTTGAACTACATCGACTCAAAACGTTCGTCCAGTCGAGAATTAGCACCACGTTTACCTGAACGGATAGACTAACCACTTGACCACGATTTTCCTCCGTGGCTTACAGAAGAGTTAAAGCTCCAAAGAGAAAAAGAGGGAAAAAATAGAGAAAAGTTCTAAATCGACACAGAGTGATACAGCCCTTACCGATGATAAACATGATCACAATGAGGAAATTGTGATTTAAACACAAAATCGAATGAACACGAGGTGGAAAAGACTTAAAATTGAAACAGCTTTTCTTAGAGGAAAAAATTTTCAGCACAATCATCAGACTACAACTTTATATGAACATTTGATGCAATAGTTCATTTTAGCGGAGGCGATTGTTCACTTACCGAGTTTTGGATCAATACAGTAATTTACGGGCCGATTTTTTTTTCACAATTATTTCCTGCGTGCCGTAAATCTGAGCAGAAAATGCGAGATTCTGTAACTTAAACACGTACCGAGAAAGTGAGGTTAGTAAGGTATTTATTTTATCTTTTGGTTTAATATGCGGGGGAGATTTTCACTTAAACAAACCTTTTAATTTTAGCAGGCCTTACAATGAGCTACGGCCTGCTAAATTGACCAATCATAGCGTATTTACTGACCGAGAGATATGATAGGCTTACTTATTCGTCGA